TTCTATCTAGTCAAAAAATTTCTTAAACTTTACGTCAACCTTGTATGTTAGGGTTGGGCATGGGAGCGGTTCCTGCCGTTGCAGCCACCTCTGCCACCATTACCTCCGGATGTAGAACCTCCGTTTCTCCCTCTAGCTACGAGGTGGGTTTGATGCTCATCATAATCTCCCCCTTGTCAGGGATGTGCTGGACATGCTGGAGGGCGCACATGTAAATGTATACCTAAACTTCCTTGTTATAAATTCACTTGTGTTGTGCATACTCACTTTTATGTTATTATTTGATAGTTCATATGGACGCCATACAGCGACGACTTGATAGCTGGCCTGCCCGATTATTGCTCGGCCGGCTGACTGATTTAGAGCACTTCCGTCCCGCTGATGTGCCTCGATATTGTGGAGCATCATGCCACAGAGCGGGTACTTCGCCAGTTTTGCCGTTCGCAGACTATACCGAGGGGGCCTACATGGGAGGCTTTACATTACCAGCGGGATGATCATTCGAGGGCGGACGACGCATTTGTAGCATGGCTAGAGGCGCATGTCCATACTTGGGAGGGGCGAGAGGACCTGATTCCGCCCCCACCTTCACAGCTCCAGGCAGAGACTATTCAGATGTATATGCCTGGTACCGCCGCGTTACCCGAATTTTTATCGGGAACCCCATTCATCAAGCTGGCGGTCGGTACACACCATACGCCGGGAGGCACGATGAACTGGTATGATATTTGGTATTCTTATAACTGTGATATAGCATTCTGTAATTAATATTTTAAATGTTGTGCAGGCTATTGGTCATCATTTATTCTACCAGTTGGGACTGCAGATACAGTAGCATGTCGGCGGTCTTGCTATCGCTGAGTATGGCCGGCAAGTGACAGAGCTGGATCTCCGGACAGTGCAGCAAGCCAGACAGGGGGAGCGCTTAGATCACAGCCCTGATTATGTGGCGCCAGAGCACCACCAGCGGGGTAGGCCTCTCGCACGCCCGAGGGGACGGGGATGAGGCAGGGCTGTATACAACCCATAAATTCTCTACGGCATACAGCCTTGTATACCTCCAGAGTTGACTCCCTTACCGTCATCTCACGACACTCTCTTATGCTGTAGATTTTTACAGCCCTGATTAGGCGAGCTTTATCGGGAAAATACATGCCCTTTGCCAGCACCGTTGGTCTAGACTCATCCCACATTGTTAACCGAACTTCGTGAAGATCCCTTGTGAGGGCATCCACATCCGGCATACTTGGCAAATTATCAAGGTAGGGAATATTCTGCTCATGAAACGGCACGTGGGACTCGTACACTCTTGGTCAATGGGAGGTGGGGAGCATGCTCCCTCGTCAGCTCAGGTTCGACATTCACTTCCTCCTCATCATCACCCTCGTCAGGGAAGGGTGTGTCATCTCCAGACTCATCGGCATTGCTATCATAATCACTATTATCTTCCTGACTCTGCGCATCTGCCAAATCACGAGTAAATACGTCGTCTATGGGCAACTGAGTGAGATCAGGACCATCAAGTTCCTCGTTTTCACTGCACAAAAAGAACAAAATGTTAAGCTACTCAAATTGATAAATACTTTACATATAGCTATATCACTTCACTTACAAGTCATACTATGTTAACATTCAATTATGGACATTTTCTTGTTGGTGATGACTGCCAGATGGACCACCATGATCCAACACGCTAGAACTACGCATATTCCAACTAGGAGTGGGGTCATAACTTGTAAACTTCATATCCGGACGGTACCCCCTGTGGAAAATATGAGTGTTAATACAAATCCAATTCAAGAAAAAATAAACATCGTAACAGAAAGGAAAATTATAGTTTACCAGTCGTCTTGTGGATTATGTAAAGTAGGAGAGAAATCATTTCCTCGCTGCTCATTCGCCGGTGGTGATAAGCTTAAATCAAGGCAAACTCTTTCATCCGGAATCTGTCCGGCAAAAACTGCTCCAGAATAACGACCCGATGACTGCGGGTTATCCTTACAATGCGCAACCTCATTATTGGAAATGTCTTCAACCTTGACGTACATTTCCAATAATTTTATCACAATAAATTCCCTGTATTCATCCGGAATCCGCAAAAAATCTCTAAGAGTTTTATCATCTTCGATGTTAAATTCAGAATAACAAGCAAACCCCTGCGGAGTCACAGAATACGGAAATCTATCGGTTACTTTAAGGTTCACCGAACATTTCCTCACACTCATTTTTTTTACGTAACAGCGATACCAATTTATCGTACTCCATTGCAAGCGGAAATTTAACCTGACACTGTGGAGATGAACTATACCTCACATAGTTATTCTCCGTTACAACCTCATTCCCCCCTCCCCCCCCCCCCAATATAATGAAACCCTTATTTTTGGCTCTTCAGACATTATAAAAAATGCTTGATAACAAGAAGGAAAGTTTGAATGGAAGTTAGAATATTTTTTGAATAGATTTTCATAGAATCCTAACGCCTTTAAATAAGGCAATGTGTTGCTTGAGGGGCTGAATTTTTTTATGTATAGCGCGGTATTACACTGCGTTATACCCATTTGAGTTATTGTTGTGTCAGTTAACCGCAGAAGACTTATTGGTGGGCCCACAAATAGGTATAGCGCGGTATAATATCGCGCTATGTATATATTTGAATTACCGTTATGTCAGTTAAATGCAGGAGACTAATTGGTGGGCCCACAAACAGGTATAGCGTGGTATAATAACGCGCTATATATAACGCGGTATTATACCGCGCTATATGTAATGCCTTATTATACCGCGCTATACTTTAACGGCAGAAATACCGTTAAACTATAGCGCGGTATAATACCGCGTTATATATAGAAAAGTAACTTTTTTGTAGGCAGTAGAAACGTATTTTAAATCCAAAAAATTGGCATTTAGGTTTCGGACTCGAGATAGAGATATGAAGAAAGGACATCAAATTAGAAGACCTCGTGATGCAAATTGGAATCACAGTTAAAGTTATACTTGTAGCAGAAAATTAAATTGCAAGTTTTATGAATTTCATATTCTAATGATTGATAGCTGAATTTACCAACGAGCCATTCTATTGTTATTATACAACAATTTGGTAATAAGCTTGCCCCACTTGTTCATATGTGTATTGGGTGATACCCTTTTTTGCTTGAGCCCGACCGGGTTGGGTCCGGTCCGGAGCGAGTCGGGGCCATCGAACCCGACCTGGATGCAAGGTAGAACGACGGCCACGACTACAACCGAGGTCGAGTCATTTCGGGACCGTTACAGAGCTCGATATGAGTCACCACCGGATGGAGAAACACACAAGGTCGGAAGCCGGACTCGTAACGGATAACCAAGCGTCGCCGGATATCTCGCCCAAACGTGATTTTCTCAACCACTTCAGGCCATTAAGGCGTAATTACAGGGATCCACGATTTAATCAATTTACCTACCTTATTTTTACCCTTAATCAGAATGTATAAAGGGGGATCTCTCTAAATTCTTGTAGGCCATCAAGCACAATTGTTCTAAGCAATATTATATTCTGCGATTATTTACTTTAACAGCAATTGTTGAGTCTTTATCTTTATTTTTCCTCAACCTAAAAACCTTTTGTATCTTTTAGTTCACGGATCCTTAAAACCCCATATAAATTCAATTGTTATCCGGATTCGAGGGTAAACAGTGTGGTTGTTAAAGGCTACTTCAAATTCCTTGTGCATAGATAAGAAGTTAGGTTTTGCCCCGCTTATCTTTCCATTTATAATGTAATAGCTTTTATTTTGATCGAAAAATTCCTTCCACGACTCAACATCTTTGTTGAAGAGAGTAGCTTGTATTTTTGTTCCCTTTGTGAAGACAGAAAAGCAATAGTCACCAACGGAGTTAATGTGGCAACCAATGAATATAATACCAGATTAAATTAATGTTACCTCTTCATCAACGAATATTAGCAGCCAGCGAACACCCTCACCATTTGAATTTCTTTACTCCTTTATTAAGCCTCTTCGAATTACGAAAATTTTAATCACCCATTCTGTTGCAAACTTTTGCAACTTGCTAATAGGCACGCATTGGTTTTCTAGTTCTTCTTTGCTTGCCATTGTGACTACCCTGTAGTTGCTAGGAAGTAGATGCAAATATTATATATAGTTGTAAAGTAAAAATAACTTATTCCTATCTAACTTCTGCAATTTAAAATGGTAACAAAACACTAATAATTGTTAATGTTTGAGTGGAATAATGAGCAACTTCAGCTGGCAATATGTACGACTATCTTAATAATCTGAAAAGAAATAGTAATTACAAAAGCGTAAATTTTTTACAAATTCGGTGATGCAGTAATACAGGTAGCCTGTTAGAAGGGACGGAGAAATGTCAAAGTAGTATAGTTAGTGTGAATCGTATTAGAGTTGCATCGTTACAAGCAACAGAAAATTTAGAAGTGAAAAGTATAAGTTAAAAATGAAGAAGATTCCTATTTGATATTGTTTGAATCTGTTAATTATGTGGTATACCCTTTTATGTAGAATCAACATTAAATGATTTAGAAGCGTGATAAAAATTCGAAAAAACATAAGCAAACTTTTTAATAGCAAATATCATGCAATAAACATATGTCTCACATAGTCAAAACAACTGAATAAAGTAATACTCTTTCTCCAACAAAAACGAACTAAAAAAATAAATTCTTATGCAAACTATGGTTAAACTATGGCATCTACAGAATTATTAAAAAATACCTTGTTGCAGATCATATAAGAAAAACACAGGCACATCTTCTGTCACGACCCAAAATCCACTAAGGGTCGTGGTGGCACCGGACACCATTGTCAGGCAAGCCCACACCAATTAATTAGCAGCTTTTTATTTTAGATAATTCTGAATTTACTTCTTTTTTGTATTTAGACAATAAAGAATAAGTTCCACTAAAATAAATAAAAATATCTTTAACAATTTCAAATATTGGATACTCCCATAGACATCCCAGAACTCGGTGTCACAAGTGCATGAGCAGTTACCAAAGAATAAAATAAAATACAGTAACTGTTCGGAATACAAGGTGGACAGAAATAAAAATACAGCACAACACTCTAAAGGAGACTCTACGGGCTGCGGGTCGTCTCGATAAATGCAGCTCACCTAGGTCTCCGTACCAACCATGCCGCTATGCCACTAAGCCGCTAGCCACGCCTGGACCTGTGCAACAAAAAAGCACAGCAAGTATAGTATGAGTATGAAAACAACGTGTACTCAGTAAGTATCTCGCCTAATCTCGAAGAAGTAGAGACGAGATGGCGACTTCGACACTTACTAATGGTCCAATAAAGGTAAATGAATAACACAACAAATTAAGGATTTATATAGGCATGATTGTAATTCAATAAAGTGGAGCAAGTAAACAATTCTTTCTTTCGTAGGACATTCCCAAATCCTTCTCCTTATTTATTATTTATACATTTATTCTCAATCCGTGAAGAACGATATCACTTCAACAAATTCCAAGACAAGCAACAAGTATGCGTAAATCATGCCGCGGTCGTACGGCCCGATCCAACAAATATTTAAATTGTGCACTGCCAGAGGGTCGAATGACGTGAACCATAGATGCATCTATTACCCCGCTCGCGAATCATACATGAGACGCGTCAAATATAAATAAACAATCACCCTGCTCGCGAATCATACATGCGACGCAGGTACACATAGACACATATTCAAACAGTTAATCAAGACCTCATCAGGGAACAACTATCCAAGGAAAAGCCAATTCTCTTTTAACAATTCAAGAAAATGAAGTTCAATCTTTTAGAAAATTCACTTACTAATCCGATGTGATTTAAGAAATTTAAGCCGTCAATAAGATTCCAAATATTTTCAAGTACAACATGCTTTTGGGTCCTAGACTACCCGGACATAAACATAATAGCAGCTACGCACGGACTCTCGTCACCTCATCCGTACGTAGCCCCTCACAAATAGGAGCACATAACCAATTAACTCACCTATGGGGAAAATTCCCTCTTACAAGGTTAGAAAGGAAACTCACCTCGCTCCGAAGTTCCATAACCGGCATTCCACACCCTTCCGAAGACTCAAATTGATGCACAACGCTCCAAAACTGGCCAATAATTATGTAAATCCATTAATATATGATCAATTACTCATAATGATCCAATTTATAACAATTCCTAACCTCGATCGAAAAGTTGAAAAAATTGCCCTCGGGCCCACGTGCCCGGATTTCGAAGTTTTTCGAAGATAAGCTTACCCATGAACTCACGAACTCAAATATATGATTTTCTCTTAATTCCATGCCCAAAATCGTGGTAATAATCCAAAATATAAATTTCTAGGTCTCCTACAAAAAACGACAATTTCTACCAAATTTTCATGCTCAAATCCGTATATAATCCAAGTATTAACTCAAAACTAGTAGAATCCACTTACCTCATGCCTGGTGGTGAAAATGGCACCTCAAAGTTGCTCCAAAAATCGGCTCCATTGGTAGAAATGGGATTGAAATGAACCCAACCCTCGATTTAAAAGAACTCACTGTCTCCAGCATTTCCGCACCTGCGGTCACTTGACCGCTTTTGCGGTTCCGCAGGTGCGACCCACTACCCGCTTCTGCGGTTTCTCACCAGGCTGCCCTTTCCGCTTCTGCGCCTCAACCACCGCAGGTGCGGTCCCGCTTCTGCGGCTACATGACCGCATCCGCGTCTTTTCACTTTCGGCCCAGCACCGCTTCTGCGGTTCCCTTCCTCGCTTCTGCGGGGCCACTTCTGCGGTGAACCCTCCGCCAAAGCGGTTACACCAGCAACCAAACCCCCTTCAGCTCATCTTTCAAGTCCTAATCGATCCGTTAACCATCCGGAATCCACCTGAGACCCCCGGGACCCCAACCAATCATACCAACCAGTCCTAAAATACCTTACTAACTTGCTCGAGGCCTCAAATCATATCAAACAACGTCAAAATCATGAATCACACCCCAATTCAAGCTTTATGAACTTTAAAATTTTAATTTTCTACTTTTGATGTTTAAATCTATCAAATCACGTCCGATTGACCTCAAATTTTGCACACAAGTCGTATTCGATATTACGAACCTACTCCAACTTTCGGAATCGGAATCCGACCCCGATATCAAAAAAGTCCACTTCCAGTCAAACTTTTCAAAAACCTTCAAACTTCTATCTTTGGCCAAATGACTCCAAAATGACCCACGGACCTCCGAATTCACTTCCGATCACGCTCCCAACATCAGAATCACTATACGGAGCTATTTCCAAACTCGAAATCCCAAACGGACATTGATAACACTTAAATGCACCTTCACCCAAACTTATGCAATTCTTCCAAAAGTGCTAACTTCCACAATAGGTGCCAAAACATTTTCGGGTCTTCCAAAACTTGATCCGGACATACGCCCAAATCCGAAATCATCATACGAACCTGCTGGAACCTTCGAATTCCGATTCCGAGGTCGTTTACTCAAAAATCCAATCTTAATCGATTCTTTCAACTTAAAGCTTCCGAAATGAGAATTCTCTCTCCAAATCAACTCCGAACTTCCCGGTTTCAATTCCGACCATGCGTACAAGTCATAACACCTGAAATGAAGCTGCTCATGGCCTCAAACTGCTAAACGGCGCGGTAGAGCTCAAAACGACCGGTCGGGTCGTTACATCTTCAACACACAACTTTGTTCAACAGTAGTTATGCACATAACATCTTTCTAAAGAGAGCTTTAGGTGTAAAGTAAAATAAAAACTTATGAAATTTATAAATGATCTTGCTAAACATTGGAGAGTGTAGAATTATAAGAATACGCATAAAATAGAGTATTCAATTTCAAGAATCGAGATCAAGAATACTCATATGAAGTAACAAAAGGAAAGAAATTTACCAACTGAAACTGCAACTTTCCTCTACTATTTGTGCTAATGGTGATGGTTATGCATATTACTGGTTTAGAATCCATTTATATAAGCTCCTCAGTGGTCTAATGATATTCTGCAACAGATAAAATAATTAATTAGCAATTAAATCAGGTAACAACTATCACACGTTCTCTAGCCATGATCTAAATTAAATTACATAACAGTTATCACACGTTCTGTAGCCATAATATCCAAATTAAATAGCTAAATTCATAGTGCATTTATGAAATCCCATAATGATTGACCCATTTCAGTATTAATCATACTATATGAGAATTAAAACCCAATGGCCAAGATGGCTTCTATACTCAGATGAATAAAACCCTTCAGATTCCTTCAGTGGCGTTGCTGTGACCTAGTGGCGTTGTTGTGATTAGCCTCCAGATGGATAAGAAGTACTTTGAACAACTCACCTTTAATTTTGGGTGGAGAGATGATGTGACTGCCCTAGTTAAAAGAATGACCGAAAAATATACTTTGACCCCCAAAATTTTAAAGTTGATACTTTAGACCAAAGAACTAAACATAGACTCAAATAACGTAAAGGGCATCTATTATTAATATTCTTTTGTGAATAATTAAGTTGTAATTAGCTGGAATAAATCACATAAAGAGACATCAATTAATGTACAAAATATCATTTAATGGGAGATAATTTTAATATTAGTTAGGGCATTTTAGTAAAACTAACAACACCTAAAAGTGTTCATATAGTATATCATATCATATAGTATGATATGATATGATTAATATTACTATAGATAATCTAGGGAGGGGAGCGTAGGTTCATGGCCCCGTGGAACTCCCTAGATACGCCCCACGTAAGTACTCTCTCTGATTTATAATTAGATAAATACTTATTTGTACTCAATGTTCACACTAAATCAAGCGGTTTGACCATAATAAGCGATAAATAACTTAAACATAGGACAAATGGCATGCGTTCTTTTTTACCTTGTAATTATCTCTTCGTTCTATTTATTTCGTTTTTTAAAATTTTTATACGACTGATAGAAAGCAATATTTACTATCAGCAATAATAATTATCTAAAATTTGGCTTTTAATATTTTATACCTCAGCATTTTTAATGTGTGGACACAGCCATAGTAATTGATTAATAATAACATGTACTCGTATATAGAGATTCTAAAATATTCCCAATAAATTGAGAAAAATGTACTCATATTATATGATGGTTATTCCTATTATTGTGTTCAATTTTGCACTTGAAGAAAACCATTTATAGCGGAGTCCATTACTCATATGATCATTCAACTATCCCAAATTATCTCCTAAAGTTAATTTTTTTTCGTTTGTAACAATGAAGTCACTGAACTATGCCTATTGCACGCAGAAGGTCACTCAAATAGATTTTTCAAATTTTGTATTGCCAAATACCTATTTTACTCTCTAAATTATAAATATTTATCTTCTTTTTTATTTTTTTAAAACTTTTTAGTATTAACAAAAAAAATTCAAAAATTTATTTACACAATTCAGAATGAAAGAAAATAAAGGTTGTAAAATATATATCTCATGCACGTAATATAAAAATAATTATTTAAATAAAGGTATTTTTATAATATACATTATATATTCTTGAAAATTATGCTCAATTATATTATTATGTTTCTACCAACTTTCCAACGACACAAAGTTATGTCACCGGGAAACAGAGGGACTATCTGTATAGGGTAAAATATGCTATGTTAAGTCGTGCATGGAATATATATATAATATAATTGAGCATAATTTTCAAGAATATATATACAAAAATACATTTATTCTTATTTTTATATTACGTGCATGGAATATATATTTTACAATCTTTATTTTATTTCATTTAGAATTGTAAATAAATTTTTAAATATTTGTTGTTAATACTAAATTATTATTACTAAACAATTATTCTAATTTTTTTTTACTATGCTCATTATTTTGTTATTCCTGAATTATATATGCTTAAATACTTTTTTTTTAATTTATAAATAATATCTATTTATTCTATAGGTAAGTCCATAATATAAATTAAAAGGTAAACCATAATATTAAAAGTTTTAAAAAAAATTAAAGAAGATAAATGTTTATAATTTAGAGTGTAAAATAGGTATTTGGCAATCCAAAATTAAAAATCTATTTGAGTAACCTTCTGAGCGCNNNNTCTATTTTCTTTCTTTTTCGTTTCTTTTTCTCTTTCTTCGTTTTTAGAGAACCATGGTTCTCCACTGGCCTGCAATTATCATCTCCTGCTATCCTCTTCTTCCCAATGCTTTGAAACTAGTCATGTTTTATTTTTTGCTTCTCTTTTTCTTGTTGAATCTCTATTCACGCTCCTCTTTTCCCCCACCATATTCACCTACCTTTACAAACTCCATTTCATTGCTCATACATTCTCTCTTTAATCTCCTCGAGATAGAAACATAAGTTCTCTTAAGCAATTGGGTCATGTATTTAGGTTGGAATAATTTTAACACTTGATTGGAGAGCTTGATCTTCGCCAATACCATTTTTCGTACAAGAAATTTTCTCTCCTATTCTTTTAGATCTGGGTGTGGAGTGGCAGGGAGAGGTGGTTTGATTTTTTAGAGATAGAGTTTATGGGTTTAACGGAGGTTATTGCCGTGACTACCTTCCATGGTGGCGGGCTGCTAGAATAGTGATGAAGGAAGGTGGAGAAGATGAAATGAAAAAAGGATAGAAACAGTAAATAAAAAATGAAATAGTGCAGTACATGGCGCGTGTTAAACACAGCCCACCATAAGAGTGGTTCGGTATTTTGAAGGAGATATTAAATTTAGTCTAGATAAGAATAGTGGGGTGTTAGGACACCCGTAAAGTTAAGGTGTGTAAATGATTTTTCCGAACAAGTTTAATGGGGTCTTTATGCATTTTCTCTATTTTATTTAAGGAAACTTCAAAACTATTATTTCGCCATGTCCTTAGGGGTTGTGACACTGTTCCGTAATTTATAAATTGATTTTCGATAAGATACTTTCCTAAATATATATTATCATTGGACATCTCAATAACTATAAGATTCTCAAATTGAGAAATGCACTTATGAGAGTTTTTTTTTAAAATTTAAAACGGAATAAAACCTTCCAGTGGAGAGTTTAATGTAATGTTTTTAGTTTTTCAAATCAAGTAATAGAGAAGTATTGACACTATGTGTAAGGTGCACACTTCAATTAAGACTTTTGTCCATAACCTTTACAAAATTTAATCTTCTCCCAAGTAACTGTAGAGAAATTTATAATCAGTATTTTAGGGTAACACTAGTACTCCTCCTCTCCTTTCTGTAAATTATTTTAGTCGTTAAATGTTGTCCCTTATCTTAAAAATATTTGGCTTTGCTATTAATCTATGTCAAAGCAGTTCAATTTTTCTGTGAAAGCTCACAGATCATTGGTTGTGAAGTTTGCCGTAGGCAAATCTCATATTGAAATGGGATGGAAATATTAGGGATGATATTATAAGGTGGGAAGTAGGATCAGGAATTCAACTGTCGAGATGCTTCTAAGATTACAATCAAGGAGACAAAACTTTGACGCACTAAAGATTGGACAAGAGCGAAAAATACCAGGCAGTTAAACTTGAGACTATAAGGTGATATCGAAGCCAGTACCTCTACCAGTACGATGGTGAGGCAAATCTCGACGAGAACAATAAGTGCCTAACAATGTAAGTTTCAAAGTCCACTAACTATTGGCGGTTGAATTCAAAAAGAGATCATTGTAAAGCTTATCTTAGGCATCCCACAACTTAACGGACTGGGAGGAGAAAGTTGATAAGTTATGTAATTATGGTTTCGATGATTTTTCAAACTTTGTTGAGGAACCGGATAGGAACCTGATGCACTCAGTTCCTTTGTGCCTATTGGAACATGCTCAATCGTCTGGCCAAACTCTCGAGAAACCAAATAAGAGAAAACAGACACCGGAACAGATAGGATCAGTTTCTCAGCCTGTCGTACAGTTAAATCTACAGTTGTAAAAGGTGTCTCACTGTACCGACTAGCAGCAATGCAGTGGATAGCCGCTGCTACTAGAGGCCAAACCAAAAAGGTACAATGTCTCTATCTCTTCACACATGCTCTTTCATATACAAACAACATCACAAAAATGTGACCTATGATGGTAGACTATAATTGCGTATTTTAGTCGCCTATCACATTCTTTTAATACACTTTAATTGAGTTTGAGCTTTAATTGCTAGTGTTTTGCACTCATTGCGTGTTTTATGCCTTGTAGGAGTAACTGCGAGTTATGTAGATGTTATGGAACGAATTCGAGCTATTTGGAGCTTTGAAGTCAGAGTAAAAGCCCAATGGATTAATCCGGGATCGCGTTCGGGGGTCGAGAACCACGTCTGGACTTCAAAAACGAAGCAAAAAGGCAGACTTTGAGAAAAACCCACAGCCACGGCGCTTGGCGCACCGCGGCTGCCCATTTTTGCTGCTGGTTGATTTTGCACGCTCTATGATAATCCACTACTGCCCTGCCTGGCGCGTCGCCCCATGCGGCGCGCCTGAGTATGTTTTACAGAGTATTTTTCCTATTTCGTGTAGGAGAAGGTGATTTCGTTTGGGCCCGATCCTACTTGATATAAATACATGTAAAAACATTATTTTTGTAACTTTTGAAACACTTTTTACCTAGGGAGAGAATAGAGCCGCTGTGGAGGCCGGGTTTCAACTTTTCTTCTACCAAACTTAGTAATTTTTATGTTTTTTATATGATTTGTTGTTTGCTACCATGTTTATGTGGAACTAAACTTTATGTTCTAGGGTTGTGGTTCTTTTATGACTATTGTTATTCGGATATTGATTTTGCTTTCTTGATTTATCATATTGGATTATTTATTCAATCTTGCGCTAAATTATTTAATTGCTTGATCACCAATAGAATACTGTCTACGAATCTAGAATTGAATTCGAAAGTGGGAATTCTAGATTGCACATAGGATTGAGTAGAGCAAGTTCTTGAACCCGGGCATCGTGGAATGGATTTGCGGTTAGGATAGACATATACCTAATTTTCTTGCTTGGTTGATTTACATGAATTATAAATGCGTTCTTGTTAGTTCTAATTCCATAGACATATAGGCGTTATGTTAGCTTGAATAGGCGAGTAAGAACTCGACAGATTCTTATGAGCAATATTAACCCTGTTAACCAATAAATTAGATAAATTAGTTAGTCAACTCAATTGAAGAATACAATAGGAATGTTAGATAACTCATAATCCTAGATCGTTTTTATCACATTAATAATATAAAAAATCTGCTCTTCCTCTGTTTAAAGTTCATTAGTTATTTTCTTTTTAGTTTAATTACTTTAGCACCACTACTTTTAGGTTTAATCCTTGTTTAGATAGTTAGGATAATCTAATTTTGTTAATAGTTA